AAAAAACCATTATTAGTACCATTTCATACAAAAAACATTGTTAATACCATTTCATACGAAAAACATTGTTAATACCATTTGATACAAAAACATTGTTAATACTATTTCATACAAAAAAGCCTAGCAAGACATCCGATATCCTTTGTAGAAACCACCTCCAATTGTCTACAGTTTCACTAGATACAATCGCAAAGGCAAAAGGAAAAACCTCTACAAGAAAAAAAAAGTACACTGTTAATACTATGTCATAGAACTATATTCCTAGTAAAAATCACATTCTACATATCATAAACTTCAAGTGCATAGCTATATATAGAGCAAAATATAGAGCATGCTTTGTTACTGAAAATCTGTTAATACTATCTCATAGAAGTACACTGTTAATACTATGTCATAGAAATCAACTCAGTTGCAGGGTATGAACAGTATCACAACTGTTCATACCACTTACTGGAAGTTAACAACTACATCATTTCATTTGTATAATAGGTACGATAAAAGTTTACAACTCCATACCACTCAAAATCAACTACATCATTTCATTTGCATAATTAATTGATCCTTCATTACTCCACATACCATAAATATTGAATCGGAGTGGCTCCCACACATACTGCTCATCATCATTGTGCTTGGTGGTAACAATGACCTTATCTGCAACAAGAGAAGCACCAGCAGCCAAGGCTTCCATAAATTCCTTGGTGCCAGACCTTTCAATGGTACCAAGGATGTTCACCAAATCTGACAACAAGAAATAAGAACAAAATAATTAAGCATAATAGAATAATTGGAACAACACAGATAACAATCATAAGCCCAAAGCGCATAATTGATAAGCTGAAATAGTATATAGAATTTGAATAGTCTGCTATTTCACTACAAACTACAGGGATAATATGAAACCATTCACTCCCCGAGTCAAAATTTCAATAGATATATGCTGAACCAATAAGAGAATAACATAGATTTTCTAAATTGAACTAAGAAATCTACAGGGCAGAAAAAGCAAAGAAACTCCATATAGTAGATCAATAGAGGAAAATAAAAAGAGGATATCTTGTTTTTCATTCAATAGTAAGCTCTATGGGTTAAGTCGCAGCGCATTGTGCTACACTCGGGTTAGAGATGCATATTTAGCAAGCATTTCATACCGAAAATAGTAAATTTGATCATCCAAGAAATTAATATAGGTCTTTGCAGTCATCAAATAAGTTCATGTGTATAACAGATTCTAGAAACTTATTGCTTCAAATGAGAAATTGGTTTGGTTTCAAAACGCAGAAAGCAATTCCTTATAGCTAAATCTTACAGCCAAATCAAAATGACTAGTGCTACTACATCAAACATGAAACAAGTGAGCCAGCCTCACACACTTGGGTACAAGCTCCTACAGGGATTAAACTGAACAACAACTACAGATGAGAGACAACAATGCATGAATTTTCTGCCAACACATATGACCAATTCAAAATCAACCAACACCAGATAGCAAACTAAAATTCAAAGAACACCTACAAATTGTTTTTAAAAGAAAATCCATTTTCCACATTTAAACCAGAGATAGAGAAAAAGAGAAAAATCAAATCAAATAGGCAATGCATGTTTTTCAATAGGTAGGTCCTCAACCTCATTACCAATTTTTTGATCTCTGTCATGTCATTCTTCAACATGAAAAATTGAAACCTTCCTTCCACACAAATTAATACGCACTTGAAGTGAAGAAACAAACTCACTAGCAACTTGTCATGTCATGCTTACATAACTCATTAAAATAGATTGCTTGGTCAAATAAGCTAATGTTTAAAATAAGTTGTTGAAACGATCATAAACTACAACATAAAAGTTAACGTGTTCAAATCTCTAACCTAAGCCATACAAACTAAGTAGTTGAATTTAAAATGTTCACAAGCCAAACACAAACAGAAAACACAACAATTCATACAATAAACACTAGAAAATATTGAAATGAGCAATCAACATAAGAATAAACGGTGAAAATACGTACATCAGAGGCGTCACTGATGAGCTTCTTCAATGGCGGCCGCAGAGAGGAAGAGGAAGCAGCAACCCCTCTGGCTCTGGAAAAATCGTCGTCGCATCTGCAAACAAGATATCCGGGTTGAAAATCGGGAACACTGGACGGATCTGGCCATTTTGGAATATATCGTCGGTGGAAATTGGTGATTCGTCGGGATTGGTGCAGGTGAAAGAGAAATCGTCTTCATCTTCGTTCTTCTCGCAATCACCACCGGCGTCGGCGTTTTGAAATCCTTCGTCCGGCAATTGACACCTCAAATCTACAGAGTAGCCACAGAAGTCCGCAAGCTTAACAATTAGCTCTGTTCATATCGAAAAAATGGAAATTAGCACCAAATTCGACGAAGAAACTGAAATCGAGTCAAAATTCAAGTAAATTAAGCAAAAATCAAAAGGAAAATAACGAATTGAAGCAGATGGAACAAACCTGCAAACAAAATGGAGGCATCGGCAGCGAGAACACGTGTGAGGCCACCGACGTAACGGAGATTGTCAAATAACGAATTGAAGCAGATGGAACAAACCTGCAAAAGAAATGGAGGCATCAGCGGCGAGAACACGTGTGAGGCCACCGACGTAACGGAGATTGTCGTCAGTCTTGTGTTGGTCCATGGCTCTGAGACTGTTTGGTTTACTTTGAAGGCAAAGAGAGGGAAGAAGGGAGAGAACAGAGGAGAGATGTGGGTTTGAAGGAGGAGAGGGGCTTGAGGCTTCAGACCTCAGGGAGTGGTTTTGTTGAATTTTAATGTTCTCTACATTCTATAGATTCTAAACGAGATCCAAAACTAATTTAATGCTAAAAAGGGTAATAAAGGTATTTGATCTTATTAATTAAATTAAAAAATATACAATTGTTGATTTTTGGGTTTATTTTGGGTGTGTTTATATATAATGAATGGTATAGGGTATATTTATAGTTTTATGTCTAGGAATGGGTATTTCACTAAATTTCTATATTATTAACTCACTAGGGGACCAGCCTTATGATAAAAATTTATTAACACACATAACATTTAAGAAAATAAGGCAAAAACATGTGGTCGTGACTCGTAATGCAACAAAAAACTAGGAATTGACACTTGAAAATTGGGAAGAGGAATGCTACAAGATTAATAACTAGTTCGTTTCTCGATTAAGTTAAAAAAGATTGAAAGAAACAAAAATCGTCAAAACTATAGAATATAAAACATTGAATAGAAGGATGGATTGGAATGAGTTGTTTTGTATAGGTAGCTAGATATGATAAACTAAAGATTCATTGAAAGGATTAGGTACAGAACCACGACAATAGAATACTGATTTCAAGGGCTTGATGTCCAGATTACACTTGGCCAAATAATAAGATGAGGGTGACTCAGTACCCCTTAAAAACTAAAGTCGAAATCGATTCAATGCTGCTTAGCTTAATTAACTATAAGATAATTTATTTTTATATATACAGGTAAGGAGTGCCATCAGATCAAGGAAATTACATAACAAACTGTTGGAAATATGCCATAAAAGCCAATCATGTAATCTTTTAAGGAAATTTCATGTATTAGACTTATGTTTAATCTTCTTAAAGAGTGAGTTTATTTTTATTAGTAAATGTCTCATTAACGGTTACACATGTTTAAACAATAAGCCCAAGAGATGTGAGATAGAGAGAAAGTAATCTAAGGAAGTTAGATTCATGAGACATTTCCTTTATTATCCTCATACCCTAAATGTTCCAAGTCATAGGATTGTTAAACGGGCACTGACAATCTGAAAAGACCAGTACATGCTATGTCTTCTCGATTGGGAGGATGACTAGTCTCAAGTCATTCGTGTGGAGACACTAAAACAAGTATGTAGGTGCTCAATAGAGAATGAGTTCACTGAACACGATAAAACGAGAGTTTCTTGTATGGAAATTTTACTTATATGTCAAACAAAAAACTCCAAGTTGCAATAATGCAAATTAGTCCTTGGACTTGAGGCACCATGGTTGTCTTGTGGGAAAGTTGTGGATTTTTGATGATGCTATAAAGACATGTCCTAATCACGAATGTGGTACAAGCATTGTTGGGGTTCTCGATTGACTCATGGAGACATGTGAGTGTACAACATGGAATCTCTATCCTTCAGTAAAGAAGGAGAATGCTTGGAAGATATAATTAAGCAAATCTCTGATCAGAGTATTCGATATGACCTAGAAGGATGTTCTTGTCATACTAATACAAATCATATAAGACGTGACAATCTCATTAGGGGTTTGACATGCACCATGCCCTAGTAATGAGATTAAGAGCATTGTAATAGGGAAGGACTGTATTGCATTGTAATTCCAACTGAATAGGTTATCTGCTTATTCTACTTAGCTTATATATCCATGACATACTGCTAGGTGTCACTCATGGATGGTGGAAGCCATAAGGACTAATGATCCTACCTAATAGGGAGAATTAAAAAGGGATTTTAATTCACAATCAATTACGAAGAGTTCAAATTGCCCACGACCTTGCTAATTAGAACCTAATGGATCGCATACCGTTAAACTTGAGTTATTTGAGAAACCGATATGGAGATGATGAATTGAATAGATCAATTAAGCTTAGTTAATTGGTTAAGGCAAAATTAATTATGGAATTAATTTAAATGACACGTGATGTCAGAATAGGCTTTAAACGAGAATTTTGAATTATAGGCTCATTGGGCTTTATCCTATTGGATATGGAGATTGGGTTGTATGACAATTTAAATGAAATTGAGCCCAAGAGGCCCAATTTCAAGGGATTGGCGTTCCTATGGGCTTTTGGTTGCTTCAGTCAACTTGTTGACTCAAGTAAAAGATGAGTATCATCTTTTTGAAGCCTAAGGTGTCCTCAGTGAAAATCAAGAGAGAGAAAGAAAGCTCTAGTCTTCCAAAACTCTCTCTACACTTTCATACTACCTTAGTGTGGGATTACCAGCATCATCCTCTCACTAAGCTCAAAATCTTCTTCTCAAGCTCTAGTTGGTGAAGAGACTTAGAGGTTACCTATTTTGGTGACTTTTGGAGAACCTCTCAAGTTGGAGTTTTTAAAGGAGTCATTCAAGCTTCAACAACAAGGAGGAGATTTTGAAGGAGCCATTCAAGCTTCAACAACTTTGGTGGAATTCAATCATAGTGTTGAAAGCACGCACCAAGGGTAACTCCTCCTTCCAATCTTCTTAGAAGTATGTTCTAGGAAAATAGTACAACTATCACTTGGCTTAAAAGATTCATGGGAAAAGTTTTTGCTTTTGAACTCATAAATGCATGCTTAAGCTTCCGTTGCCATGATTTTATTTATCTATATTGATGTTCAAATGAAACTCATGATTTTCTAAAGATTTCCTTCAGAAACAACATTATATATTGAATCCCAATTGATTTGAATCTCTGAGAAATCCAACCATTGAAGAAGCACCACCACTAGTGATGGAAAACTCTGCTTCCGGCTCTGGTTGAAGATGAGTTTCAGTTTTCTTATCAAAGCAGTATACAGGGGCTTGCCAATTGGCATCCTCAAGCACTGCCCCAACCTCAAATGTCATCACATGTGCCTCCCTCCCTGCACAATATTGATTTCACATTATGATAGAGGAACAAGCAAATTTCAATTTGCAAACATGCTCTTATATATAGGGTTTTTGACCGAAAATGGTCTCCAATTATTGTTCGAGTATCATTTTGATTCATAAACTAAATTTTTCATTTCAATAGTCCTCCAACTGTGTCCATGCCTTCACAGTAAAATCGAAGAGAAATCCTGCTTGCAGCTTCCCTGAGGTGCTTTTTGATCCAAAATGAAAAAGTTAGTTCATGGACCAAAATGATACTCAGCAATAGCAATAGTTGAGTTGGGGGCCATTTCAATCAAAAACCCTTATATATAATATAATTGCAGACTATCAAGTTCGAATCCTCTTCACTTCTCCGTAAATCTCCGTAAATTAGATTAGACTATCAATTGTATAAAATTAATAGTGGCATATGAACTAATTAATTATTAAAACAAAATGAAACAAGTTAGAAATTGCAAAGAGAAATTATTAGTTTATTAGTGTGTGTGTGTGTACCTGTGTAAAAGACCCAATGGACAGGCCTCTTGGTAGCAACATCCTCATAATACGAAATGAAGTCGGCCTTCTCCCAAACATCGCAAAGGAACCCATCCACGTGTCGGCGACCCAGATACTTGGCTCCGTCGAGCCAGTCGGGTCGGAGAATACCCACTTCTACCTGGGCGGTTCTGCACTCTCTGGCGGAGTCCAATGTGTAGAAGAAGGAGGTTCCATTGTTCCACTCGAGGTCGTAGAGGACCGAACCCAGCTGGTGCTGGATGATGTTGAAGTTTCGACCGTTGGGCCAGTCGTACCAGAGGTCGATCAGCTGGAGGGTTCCTGTGTAGTTCATCACCAAAATGGAGTGGAATTGGTGGGGCCATGGGGTTGGCGATGGGTCTTCGTCTGAAATCGATGAGTTGCAGAGAGAGGCAGTGAGGAGGATGAGGAGGAGGATTGCGACGGAGGAGGTGGTGGTGATGGCTTTGGCCACTGAAGAAGCCATTGTTGTTTAAAGAAGGGAAGGACGCGTGTGGTAGGTGACGGTTTTCTTCTTGATTTCATTTGTATCATCCAATATCCAAGCGTAAGTAAAATGAGGTGACGTGGCTCTAGTTTGGGTGGGCATAGTAAAGCCCATTGGGCCCATGTGTGTGTCCTTTCTTTTTTTAATTTTTTGGGGTTTGGTTAGTAAAAAAATTTGACTCAAAACACAGTGAATCCGAGCAATGGAGGGTTTCTGCAAGTTTGGCCCAAAAAAATCAAAATGTTCCTCTCTGAATCCTTTTTTCCTGTTTCTTTTCATCACAACCTCGAGTGAATGATTAACCTCAGTTACCACAGGCACCAGGTGTAGCAAATTCTATCAAGCTACTTCAGATTTATACGTTCGAAAAAGGTTGGTGCTTCTGAAAGTTATTGTTTTAGCACTTCTCATCAAATTTAGAAAATTCTATTAAGCTACTTCAGATTCATATGGTGAAAGAAACAATTTATGCATTGAAGTTCATGGTCATGCAAGGATCTAGAGTCAGGTGATGCTAAGGCAAGAAATGAAAGTCGAGGCCGTTGCGAAAGAGAGTGTTCATGCTAGACTGGCTACTTTTGGTGGGTAAGTAAAATCATTCAGTCATTTTGGGATTTTATGGGTACTTGCTGTTTTTCTTTACCCCTTCCATGTATTAGCAAAACGCAAAATGTATCCCATTATCTCCAACAAGCACAGTTCAACAATACTAAGTCTACAACAATGTCAAACTATTTATGCAGCAGGAATAATAATTTCCCTGGTAAGGGCTCAACAATTCATACCTGCACTACTCCTCAACAATTCATACCCGCACTACTCAAAGGCAAATATCATAACAAGTTTCTACACATAGGGTCGGCAGCAGTGCACAGCATCAGACTTTGCTGAAGCTGGTAATTCGGAGCAAATATCCCGCGTCTTTTTATAATTCTAAATGCATGTTACAGTCTGGCCGGATGAAAGGGCATTCAATGTGGGTCATACGAGGTGATCAAATAATTAGCACTTCTTGCTGCATGGCCAAATTGGGAATTTACTGGTTGTGATGACTCAAAAGGCAGATGACAGTTCAGGCAAATCAGCGCACACAAAATCCCAAAGAAAGGTAAGAACAGGTGAAAAGAAGTGAGAAACAAACCTGAACTTTCACTCCTGATCTGAAAATTGCTAAAACATATTGTACAGAGTGTGTGTTTGTCTAAATATACTTTAATCCTGAGATGTACTGCTGTCTAGATATTAGATACTGGGCCAGGGAATAAATAATTCCTAAGAGCCCTAATATCCTAATCTTCAGCACGTCTGTTATTATGATAGATGGCAAATTAAGGGGCATGGTTATCAATGGCATTGAGTCCGTCTGCTTTGTGCAAGTCCACACAAACTTGTTGAAAAGGATATGGCTGGGGAAAGTAAGAACGAGGAGGGCCAAATTCTTGACAGCAAAGAACCAATCCGGACCACCAATTTCCAAGCCCCAACCCGCATTGCCATGCCAGATGTCTTCCCATATGCCATAGAGGGCAGTCAGGACTAGGTAGCCCGTTATCACTATTGCAACAGGGAAATACCTTTGCTTGTCCCCAAATCCAGCAACAAAATCAGCGTCCTGGTTGAGAAGCAGCAAAATTGGTGCCAGGAAGAATATTGCACGATTTGAGCCACCTGTGAGATTGACATTCAAGATGAGGCATATCGCAAAGCACATCACAGTAGCAACATTACCAACTGCTGGCATCCAGGCTCCCTCAGCAGACATTCTCTTGATTGTGAAGGATGCGACAGTAGAAGCCCTACGCTGTTGCATAAATCTCATTCTTGAAGCAAAGCTAGTAGAGGTGCTTTGACCAGATTGACTATGCCTGATTCCAGTCCTTTCAGTAGCCTTTTCCCTCATTAATGAGGCAAGTTCAAACTTTATCTCTAGAGCTATCAGCATAAAAATTGCAGCATAAAGACCGAGAAGAGATGTCCTTGCCCCCTCAACAGCAAATAGAGTTGTGAGCTTCTTCTCTTCTTCTCCCATATCTCCAAATTCATTATCTCCGAGGATCATTTTAATTCTCACTTGGCCCTCCAAAAGATATGTCACAGGGAAGAGAGCTACCAGTAAAGCAAACACCCAAGGAAGCAGCTTTGTACTTGAGGCAGATGGAAAATGGGTGAAAACCACGAACACAGAAGCACAGATCATGGTGACAACAATGAGAACATGTAGGAAAGCTGTCTGAAGGAAGTACTCAGAAGATATGTAGATACCTAGAGCAATACCCATAGCTATGGAATAAAACACTCTCAACTCAACCATGTATTTAATGGGTATGACAGATGTAACAGCTGCTAGAGTAAGCAGGATTGCCACAATAAGGAGCCATGATGGCCACATAGGCTTTTGTGCCACAAAGCCATATATGGAGATGTCATCAGCAGTCTGCCGAGCAGCTTTAATTAGGTCAGACCGGTATGTCCATGATACTGGAATCGGTGGTTGCATAAGGATAAACAGCAACCCAGTTGCCACCACCAGCACTAGGCATCTCTTGGCAGACTGCACAGAAAAAGTCGAAAATGATCAGTTTACGCGGATAGAACTTCATTGATTATTTAGACCCAAAAAAAACTTCACAGATCAAGAAAGAACCGACCACACATTATAGAAATCTGAAGATACGCACTATCAATAACTAATTTGATACAACAGTAGCACTATAAGAAGATATGCACTATCAATGTGAATGACAAATGTAATGAATCACACATTATAGATGTATATAAACTTTGAATGGGGAGAGAAAATACATAGCTGCCCAAAACTTTAGGTGGGATATCAGATGTAAATACTTTTATTTTCTTTCCATACCTGTGCAGTAGATTATATTTAAAGACAATGAAAGAAAAGTAAAGAAATAAAACATGTTACCAAGACATGAGAGAAGTGGAGAGCCACAATGGGTACACAAGCCAAGCCCGTCAAAACAATACAGAAACCCAGAAGTAAGCCATCAGATGGGGGTCTTCCATTCCACCACTGGAGGGCTTCAAAGATTGTTTCACGGCAAAACCAGACTGATAAGGTAACCACACCTGCATGTGCATAACCTTGCCAAGGTTTCATCTTTGAGGCTGTTCTTGACTTGTCCCTGAAAACCGCAACAACCAAAGAATTAATAACGTAGATGCTTTACAGATTAAGGACCAATGAAACACTAAAAATCAAGTGAAAACAGAATAAGTACTTGTAAAGAAGCAATGGTGGCGTTACAGCCAATAATAGAATAGCTGACACCCAAACGACAGACTTTGATGAAATAAGAAGCATAGCCAGCTTAGCTGAATACAAACACGTCAGAATCCATACTGCCTTTGCACCAATTCGACGATCCACAGATAGTCTTTTCACCAAAGCTAAACCCACAAATGTTGTCACTATAACCATGTAGCTTGGGTACATTACATCATCCTCAAACCCATAATAGAATATGCCAGAGTAATTGAAAAACCGATTCTCAATGTGCATAACAAGCAATGCATGGCCGATCAACCCAATCTCTATCAAAAAGTGAAGTTTTGAAGGAAGTAGGGCTAGACCAGGAATAGACATGGCCAAGACAACATTCACAATTACGAGTTTGCAGAAGGATTTCAGGGACATGCCTGCCATCCAAATATTTAGATCCCAGAAATTATGAACTACAAACCATGTGACCACCAAGCTCCCAAGTACAACAAAAGCAAAATATGATGAAACACTCTTCTTTGTGAAAAACCGAGCCAAATAGAAGCCGGCAATCGAAGGCACCGGAAGGAACTGCAAGACAATGGATGACCAACAATTATTACTTGTTCAACATTTAAATTAGAGTTCAGAGGCACATAATAATGCATTAAACTCATATAGTCCCCTTTCCAATAAGAAGCATATTACACACAACAATACAACATTCCTGGTTTAGTGAATTTTGCCTAAATACATTACTATCATCAAGTTTGTAAGACTGCACCACCACACAGGTAACTGGAGTTTTCACATACTAATGAAACACAGTATCACTCATGCCAACACTTCATTTAGAGTGATGTTCAAAGATTAAATATTGATACACCAATTGTGATTCTTTCTAACCAAGTACAAACAGAACGCAAGCTCATATATTACAATTGCAAAAAGAAACATCAAAATGGCGTTTTGCTTGTTCTGAACTATGTCGACAAATTTGACAGCACAGTGAAAGCCCCAATGACAGACTTAGTCGCTTGCAATGTTTTATTGTCTAGTCTAACCATGTATTCTGCAAACCCTTTCTCACAACGGTAGCTATCATTTTAGGCTATATAGCTAAAAATGCATGTATGTTTATAGACATGTAAAATAGAGAAGCTAAGGAGTGGAAACGCATACCAAAACAGGAAACCCAACAACGATAGCTCCAGCAACACTAACTACAACAGCCAAAGCAGTGAAAGCCATGGAGCTGAAAGCATCAGATATCATACCCAACGCATAAGCACCAGCTCCAGTTGCACCTCCGAGCATCGTAGTTGTCACCAAAAGGTAATTCAACGGCGGAGGCACCTGAATGTACCGCCCAAACGAATGGAAAACAACTCTAATCTCCAAACTTATCACCACAACAACCAAAGCAACGGCACCGTTCATCACCTGAATGCCGCGCAGCTGGTTCGGATTCTTAGTGACCCACCAGAGCGCGCCCCGGGTCGAGGCATAGAGCTGGAAAAGGAAAGGAATGAAGAAGAGGAGAAATAGATCAGAGACTGCTGCCGCGGATGAGAATACAATGGAGTAGTGAGAGGCGATGTGGAAGAGGAGAGGGAAGAAGAGGACATAGAGAGTGTGGATGCAGCTCTCCAGTGGGGTGAGGATGAGGTTTTCATCAGGGACCTCACCGCCATGGTACTTGAGGTCTTGCTTGGTTTTGAAAGAAGAGATGCGAGGAATTGAGTAGAGGTAATAGAAGAGGCAAGAGAAGGACATGAGGTAGTACGAAGCGTTGGCCATACCGACGGCGGAGATGGTGGCCCAGGTGAACA